ACCACCATCTGGATTTACCGCTGTTGTCCTTAGGGCTGAGATGAAAGCATAGTTCTTGCAGCTTTCAACAGTGAGCAGCTTGAAAACCTATCTTAACCTTCTATTATAGGGAAAGACAGCTTATTTCTTCTATCCATATTAAGACCAAGGGCCTAGTGAAAAAAACAAATACTACATGCAGCTGTGTAAATTAAGTTGTTTCTTTAGCTACTTATCCTTTGAGTAGCCACAGTTACTTCTTCCATTATTTTAATAAACTTTCTGGGAAAGCTACCACAACTATTATTCTGTTCCTAGTGACTTCAGAGTCAGAAAACAGAATTCTCCCAGCTTATATTAAAGACACTTAAGAAACTGTATTTAGAGGGAGTTCCATCAGAGCTTCAATTGCAGCTTAAATATTTCATACACCCTCTTTACTGAATGTTGAACACACGCACCCTGATGATTCACAAACAGTGCAATCACAATATTCAAAATACCCTTGGAAGAGAGTGACTAAAAAAGAAAATGTATTCCTTCTGTATACAACAGAATGGAGGCACAGAAGGGCATATATCTAAGGTGAGAGAATGAAACCAGAAAATATTTTAGTCATTCTGATTTTTAACCAATATTTTGACCATTGTTCATTCAACAAAGTTTTGTATGTGTTCTATACTAAGCAATGGGGATACAAGTTGAACAAAACAGAGTCTCTGAACTCAAAGCATTAGAGTTCAACAAAGAAGGCAAACAATTTAATACAGTCAGATAACAGGGGAAATACAATATGCTATAAAAATTCACAAGGCTTCAAGGTGAGAAAGAACATAAGATAAGAAATCCAGTACAAATTTAGCAACTTCAGAAGGTGGATGGAGGTGGTGAGATAAAAATGGAGAAAAGCAGATATTGGTTCACTTTGTTCCCAGTGCAATGCAAAAAGTCATTTTTTAAATGGTTTTATGCAGGGGATTCATGCAATCCAATTTAAAGTTTTAAGAAAGATTGCACTATGGAAACTGGATAGTTGGGCAATTGAATATGGTGACATTAGCTGACAGATGACTTATGTGGTGGCCTACACTAGAGTGCTGGCAATACAGATGAAGCAAATGAAAAGGTAAGAGAAACAGGTTGAGAAAAGTTTTGGGGGTAGAGATGGGGACATGAGAGGGAAAAGGAGGAATTTAGCTCTGGTTCTACATAATCTGACCCAATTCTGGATATATTTGACCCCAATGGATATACTCAAAACACCACTGTATACAGAGGTCTGGTGCTTCAGAGGGAAGCCAAACTGGAGATAGGTTTGTGAGGACTGTAACTATGATTTTTTATTAATGGAAATTATAACAAAAGGAGACTAAAACTGCAAAGAGAGAACATGTATAGTAGAAGAGAACCTATAGAAGGAACTTCAACATTTGAGAATGTTGGGTCAAGTCGGCCTACAGAAAGAGTGAGAAAATGTGGCTAAAGATGGATAAGAAAAAAAAGGGGGCAGAGTTTTTAGTAACTAGAGTATGTCAGTCAGTGTGTTTCCAGAACAATGGAGTGGTAAACATTTTAAATGGCACAAAGAGGTCAAGCTATAAGAAAAACTGAAAATATCTGTTATTTTACAGTCTTCCTCAACTTTCGATTCATCATTGCATCTGAAGAGGCCTTTTCAGAGCCCCATTCATTCATACCCCTCCTCCATAAAATTATTAAAATCACAGAATATTTCTGTACACCTCTTTATGTTCCATAAATATCTGTGCTTTATACATAAAAAGTATGATTTTTTTTTTCCTCATAAGTAGCAAATTTTGTCCCTGATGAGAATGTACAATTTAGAGGCTATTGGTGATCTCAGTGAAAGGTTTCATTGTAGCTCAGTGGAATGGTGGAAGAAGATATACGACAGTGGGCTGAGAAGGACATAGCAAGAAGTGGGAAAAACAGAGATAAGGAGAGTAGATGATACAGTCAAGAACCATAGCTGTGAAGGAGACAAAAAGGCAGGAAAATAAAGGGGAATAGTTCATAAAGTTAAGGAAGGATATTTTTAAATGCTGAAGGAAAAATATGAGTAGAAGGGAGGCTGATGATGTAGGAGAGAGGGAATAAGTTCAAAAAAAAAAAAAAAAAGAAGAGGACTCTGAGAAGGCAGGGGAGGATGGCACTGGGAAACTCGGTGAAAGCATGTGTCTTTCCTAAGGAGAAGGGGCACTTTTCCCTCTTTAAACAGAAGGAAAGCAGATTTGTATACCTGGTTGCAAGATGATGGCTTCTATTTTCTTTGTGCAAAAGGAGAGGAGGTCATTTGTTGAGAAAGTGAATTTCTTCTCTCTACAAATACCCTTTGTTATGTGTGAATTAAAATAGTACTGAGCTACTTAAATATATCTAGTCTGCAGGGAACTCCAACATGTTGACTGTTTAGAAACCTTGTAAAATCCTAAGATTCAGTAAGAAAAGCTGACCTTGTTGCCAAGAGAGCTTACCAACTAAAGGTATATTAGGATTCCGGTAATTTTTCTCTCATCTCAATCCTCTACTTTTCCGATGGTTCAATTGAAAGTGTCCTCTATTACTCAGCCATTAAAAAGAATTCATTTGAATCAGTTCTAATGAGATGGATGAAACTGGAGCCCATTATACAGAGTGAAGTAAGCCAGAAAGATAAACACCAATACAGTATACTAACGCATATATATGGAATTTAAAAAGATGGTAACGATAACCCTATATGCAAAACAGAAAAAGAGACACAGATGTACAGAACAGACTTTTAGACTCTGTGGGAGAAGGTGAGGGTGGGATGTTCTGAGAGAAGAGCATTGAAACAAGTATACTATCAAGGGTGAAACAGACCACCAGCCCAGGTTGGATGCATGAGACAAGTGCTCAGGACTGGTGCACTGGGAAGACCCAGAGGGATGGGATGGGGAGGGAGGCGGGAGGGGGATCGGGATGGGGAACACATGTAAATCCATGGCTGATTCATGTCAATGTATGGCAAAAACCACTACAATATTGTAAAGTAATTAGCCTCCAACTAATAAAAATAAATTAAAAAAAAAAAAAAGAAAGTGTCCTCTGTACTTTCCAACATTAATCCTTTCACCTGTAATTCGTATCCCATCCCCTCTCCTCTCTTCCAAGGTGTTACTTCTTCTTTCTTGAATCTTTACTCTTATACATTAGTTACTTGCTCATAAAGTGCTTTGTATCCTCTAAAGCAAACAAACCCCAAACCTTTTAGGGAGATTGCAAACAATTTTTCTCTTCATGCTCCACATGAAGAAGCATTAGTCTACACTTGCAGTCTCTCCTCTCAATAAAGCAGTTCTTGCAAATGACCCAATGACTTCTTAATCATCAATTCCAACAACCTGTTCTCAGACTTCAACTTCTTCCTTTGATCCTTGCAGCATTTCATGTCACTGTTAAGTGTCCACCAAACAAATACTTCTTACCAAATTATATGAAACTTCACCTGTTTTGGTTCTCACCTGGAAAGTTTCTTTCTGGTTTGCTTATCAGACTGTTTTTTTTTTCCCCCAACCTTTTATCTCCATCTAAACTACTGTCTCAAAATGGATATATCCCAAGTCCTACAAAATTCCTCCTCCGCCTGTGTTGTTGTTTAGTCGCTAAGTCGTGTTCGACTCTTTTGCGATCTCATGGAACTGTAGCCCACCAGGCTCCTCTGTCCATGGGATTTCTCAAGCAAGAATAATGGTGGTTTGCCATTTCTTCCTGACCCAGGGACCGAACCCAGGTCTCCTCTATTGGTAGGCAGATTCTTTACCACTGAGCCACTTGGGCAACCATTCTCATGTGAAGACTACTAATTTGAAAAAAGTATCAACAAGTCTTCTCTGTAGCTCAAATGGTTAAGAGTTATCCTACAATGCAGGAGACCACGGTTCGATTCCTGGGTCAGGAAGATCCTCTGGATAAAGGAATAGCAATCCACTCCACTTTTCTTGCCTGGAAAATCCCATGGACAGAGCAGACTGGCGGCCTATAGTCCGTGAGGTCGCAAAGAGTCGGACAGGACTGAGCAACTAACACTGCTACTACACTATCAACTTCTTAATCAAGCTCCAACTTCAATTCAAATCCAACCAACCACATCGTTCATAATTATTTCCATACTCACTGTCACCTCCTCAGTTTAGATCCCTACTTACTCTTTTGAAGAACTGCAACACCCTCCTCACCGTACTCCCCGAGGCTCATCCAGGTGCCACCCTCTAACAGGACGCCCGCTCGCGTCAGTTAGGGATTTTGTCCTCCAAAGCAGAAGCCTGGGGTTGAGGTCCGAGTCGTCCGTACTCCAGCTCTCCGTGCGTGGCAAGACCTTTTTCCCCCGCCGAAGCACGACAAGCGACCCCAATGAGCCTGAACCTCTTGAGCTTGAGGCCTGAGAACACTGGGCTGTAGGTACACCGTTCCCTTCCGGCCTAGCTGGCAAGAAAGACCGGAAGGCCGGGAGGATGTCGCGGCTCCGGTCCACAGCACCAGAGGCGCTTCCACACCCCAGGCTGGAAGCCGGAGCTCTAGCAAGCCAGTCTACTTCCCAGCTTTCGTGATGTCCCCGGTCCGTAGACCAACCTCCCCTCTCCCCCGCCCCTCACACTCACCCTGGCTCCTGGGCCCGTCAGTGATTAGACGCGGGTCCTCTCCGGACCGAGGCTGAGACAGCTGAGAAAGCCGTGAGGACCCTGCAGTTGGGATGCCCAGTAGATTGCCTGACTAACAGAATCAATATGACCAACGGTACTGGGAAGAGTAAACGAGCGGCAAGACGCTGAATGAGAAGACGTCTTTCGAATTTTAGGATATCATCTTCTGAATCATCCAGGTCTAGAAGAATGGGAGCTTTCACCTCTTCTCGACTCAGGCGCTCATCTGCAGCCTAAACCAGTCTGGGGTGTCCCTGGAGTCGAGCTCGCGGGGTCTGGAAGAGCTGTGTATTAGCCAATGGGAAAGGCCAAGAGGTAGGGCCGAAAGACTGTGGCTGGGAGAGGCACAAACTGGGAGGAGCCAAAAGGGGGCGGGGTTTGGTGACAAGGAGGCGGTGATGCGATGAGGGGGCGGGGAGAGGGAGCCGAAGGGGTGGGGCGAGCCCTGGAGCGTAAGTGAGGTGGGAGCGCGAAGATGGCAGCGGCTGAGGAGGAGCCAAAGCCCAAAAAGCTGAAGGTGGAGGCGCCTCCAGCGCTGAGGTGAGCCCTACCTGACATAGGGTGGAGGGCGACAATGCCTGCCGCTAGCCAGGGGCCACTTAGGGCTGCGCGACCGAGGCGCTGGGTGGTAACCTCAACCCCCGGCATGCGGCCAACGCACGGGACCGGTAGCTCTGGTAGTTGCCCGCCTGGCTGCGACCCTGTGCCCGTTGTCTGCCCAGTTTGGCCCAGTCGCCGCAGGCTCCGGAGACGCTCCGCGGCCCTTGACCAATCAGAGCGCCGGCCGCGGCGCGGAGCAGGCTTTGGGCAGGCTGCGGGCGCCACGTGGGAGCCCGCCCCCGCTTGGCCGTGCTACCCGGGAGGATCGGACGGGATCCGAAGTGAGCCGAGTCAATCACGGTCACCTCCTCTTCCCTGGGGGATGACAAGGAGAATGCCCAACGAATGGCCTACCCTGAGGCAAAGACAGAATTCTTGGGTATTTTTCGTAAAGGTCGCGGAAGGGCGCTTTGACTTTCCTTTTAGTACTTAGGTGGATCTGAATGCTGGTACCTTTGCAAATCCTCCACCGGGAACCAAGACCCCGCCTCCGAGGCTTTGCGGGAGTGGGGTCGGGGGCGTGGGGATGGCCCCAAAATGGTTAGGAAAGGTTAATTTTTCTTTGCACTTTTGGCATTAGTTCTGCACCTAACATATGATTTGATTTTGCAACTTTTACTTAAAAAAGGTTACTGGTTAAAATATTCATTCCTGATAAATATAAAGTGGAGTATGCACATTTCTTGATGATTTTGAAATGCTCCTTGGAAGGCAGTGGGTTTTCTATATAAAGCTACATATATAAAACTGATTTAAAACTATTGGGACGCTCCTGATTATATAAATTTCGTTTCTTCCAACATGACCCTTCTTCACTTTTGAAAGAACGAATCTTTCATGTTTGAAAAGATAACTTAGGAGTCCGTGGTCTGTTCACGCTGTTTTCAATGGATGCTGTCGAAATCCCTGCCAGTACCTTTAATGTATTTATATTACCTTCAAAGGGCCAAAGTGTTAGTGTGCCTACCTTATATAAAGAAAATAAACTTTTAAAAAAAATTTTCACCCACGACTCAGGATGTTCTGTTTCCATTTTAAGCTTTCAAACTACAGACTAAAAGCAAAGGCTTTTGAGTCAGACCTACCTGGATTTGAGTTGTTAGGAGAAGCAAATTGACTGAAACCGCCCACCCTGGCCCAGCACTGTAGTAACCATTTACTTGAGTTATTTTACCATAGGAGGTGGCGGTGAGGAACACAGATTAACAAGTCACCATTAACCAGATGAATTTGGGAAGGGTCAAAAGGAGACACCACGTGTCCAACCATCTCCCAGAATCTTTCTTACTGGCATCTATCTTGGCTAAGCAATGCCTCTTCCACCAGGAAGGACCCTGAATAAGAAGGACTGGCCAAAGACAACCCGGAAACTAATCCCATCACCATAAAACTTCAGACTTCAAGAAACTGGCAGAGCAGTTCTCCTGGGTTCTGTGAACCTCCTGCTCTCTGGCAGGCATCCCTCCCCAGTAAAGTCCCTTGCTTTGTCAGCATGTGTGTCAACTCAGACAATTCATTTCTGAGTGTTAGATAAGAGCCCACCTTTGGGCCCTGGAAGGGGTCCCCCTTCCTGCAACAAAGGCATATGCTTTCCTTGAAAAGCACCTTAACAAAGTTTCCTTTACCAAATTGGAAGATAGCTCCACCTTTCCCCCCTTCTGTCCTACTAAAGATGCAGCCCTTAGATTTTTCACTTATGCTCCTCCATTTTCAAAGTGCTTTCCTGTTTTACAGATGAGAAAATGGAAGCCCAGGTGAAACAGTAAAGGAACTGAAGTTTGAACACAAAGCATCTGGGTGCAAGTTCATTGTTATTTGACTTTACTGTGCCTACGTTTATACAGTCACCCGAGATATGCTTCTCTCTGACTGTGCAACCTTAAAAATAATCATAAAAAGTCATGTTTCATATGTATTGTTTCAGCATTTTACCTATTTTAACTCTTTCAATCCCATAACAACACTTCAAGGTAGACACTGTATGTCTACTTTACCAAGGAGGAAACAGGTTAAGTTAAGTAACTTTATCAAGGTCAACTTTATTAACTTCACATTTTGATCAAAAGCCCTAATGAACTGTTAACTCAGCTTTTGTTTTTTCTTGTTTTGTTTTTTGGTTAGTGTGTATAATTTGTTGTTGTTGCAATTCATGAGCATATGATACTTAATAATTCTTAAACATGTATAATGTTATATTACATGTCGTTAGTGTCTGTCTACCTAAAACCTGTAAGTCTTTACTATGTGTAGACATGAAGTTAGGATTAGACACTTGCTAATAATAAATCTCTTCATTTTGTGTAAAGACCTTTTGTGATTGGCTATGCCTACTTTCATTATATTCATTTGTCTTTAAGGATCTCAGTGTGATAATGTACTGAGTGGTTAGATTGTGTGCATTATTTATGATGACTTGCTTGACATTTAAGAGGCTAGCTGCCAGTTTTGGTTAACTTTTAAGAGGATGGCTTATAAAGTCTGTTGTTCAGTTGTCAAGTCGTCTCCGACTCTTCATGACCCCGTGGACTGCAGCACACCAGGCTTCCCTGTCCCTCACTATCCCCTGGAGTTTTCTCAAACTCATGTCCATTGAGTTGGTGATATTATCCAACTATCTTATTCTCTGTCACCCCCTTCTCTACCTACACAGGAAGCCCCCTAAAACAAAAAATTATCCAGGCAAAAGTGACAATAATGTGGAGGTTGTAAAAACTCTGCTCCAGAGAGAGCATCTGACAAGTCTAGTTTTCCTTTCTCAAAAAATATTTTTCTAGGCTTTTTAAGGTTACTGAAGTTGGAAAGAAGCTAGCTGTATCACGCTTTCACACTGGGTCGAGGAACAGAAGGGAACATTAATTGAGTGCCAGGCACACTAGGTGCTTTATATGTGCTATCTCGTTTAGTCTTCCCAGCAACCTGTGAATGATCCTTGTGTTACAGTGATGTATTTAGGCCTGAAAGAAGTCCAGAAGCATTTTGGGGAACTGTTCCCTAGATAAAGATGTTCCATGATGATTACCTGTATTTAGGACCACTTTCTTTTTCTCTCTCTTGGGAATGTCATCCAAGTTCATTTCTTGAGCGGTCACCTCTGAGAGGATAAAGTTCCTTCCCAGGCTTTTTGAGCACTTGCCAAGTCTATTTTTTTAGTCTTTGAAGTACCTGCTATTTTAGGCATGGTGCTGAAAACCAGGTACACAAAGTGAGAGAGCTAAGAGCCCATCTTCTTGGTGGGAAAATAATACCTGAGCATTCCAAAAGGTGACAGAGCTAGCCAGGTGAAAAATAGGGTGTCTGGCTTTAAAGAAAAGTTTGTTTAGAGGTAGAAATGGGAGAGAGCTGCCTCTGTTGGGGACCTACATCTGTTTGGTCTGACTGAAGCTGGAAGGTATAAAGGGGTCCAGGTTTTGTATTGAACACTTTCACCTGTGTGATCTTTCTATCTCTCGGTCCTTCAGCTCCCCCAGACCTAATTTTAACTGTTGAATATCTCCTTCAGAGTGTCTTGCTGACACTTCAAAGTCATATATATCAAGCTAAATTCACCTGTTGTTCGAAAGCTGCACCTTTTTCCATGGTCTGTACGTATGTTAATGGAGCCACTAACTTCTCTTATTCCAAAGTTTGGAACCTATATACTTGATTCATTTTCCCTCTGTGTATGGTTATCAAAGTTGGTCTTTTCTTCTTCAATTATGTCTGATAAATTCCTTTTCTTTTCCATCCTGCTGTCACAACTCAAGTTTAAGACTTTATTTTGCTTAGACTTTGTGTTGACTTTCTCACCAGTCTCAAGTTCTGCCTAAGCTTCATTTAGAATAGCTCGACTTATTCATCATAGAAAATACTGTAAGCTCTGAATTGATGTTAGGAAAGGCTGAATCTGAAGAGCCATTGTAACTCTTTCTGATGTTAGTAATTACACATTATTCTGGGTCATGGTTTAACAATTACACATTGTTCTAGGTCATGACTTTTATATCACTTATACATATAAATTATATATAATTTTAATCTTTATTAAAAAGGAAACAAATTGCACTTCTCCAGTCAGCAAATGTTGAACTTTTCTCAAGTTTTTGTTGCCTAACCATTTCTCTTCTATGGACTCCTTTTAGTCTTAACTTCTGTCTTTTACTTCACTAATCTCTCTGCTTTAAAATTGTGTATTAAACCTCGGAAAAGTCTGTAGGTATTTTATCTTATCTTCTGTAAGTATTTTGGATGAGAAAGCAACAGTGTTAGCAACCTCTTTTTTAAAAAACCCTTTTTTTTTTCGATTTCAGAAAATTCTCTGGAATATGATTTTTATAAATGGAGCATACTGTTCCTGGGGTGGCCTGTTGTGAGGATTAAATGTGGAAATGTGTGCATAGTAGAAAAGAGAAAGGATGATTGATTATGTGTCTGTAGTGTGTTGCTCAGTGCCTGGTCCTTAGGAGCTATTCAGTTAATGTTTGTTGGGTGAATTATCAGCACAGTGTAGAGTGAGACTACTGAGTTTTACTTTTTTAGATCTTATGCTTTTAACAGTGCAGCCTGAAATCAAGTTTGGCTCTTTTTAGGTGACATTGCATGTTGTTGACTTACATTACAAATTTAATCCTTTAATATTAAAGCTTTTGACTATGAAAGAAAATGAAAAATGGAACTCTTGGAGGTACTTTGTATGAATGCCTTAATAAAGTCCTCTCCTAAGCATTATAAATTAAGGCAGAGTGAGGGTGGTGAAAAGGCAGAGTCAGAGGAAAGCTTCCATGGATGGTCCTAGGTATCTAGAGATAAACATGAAATGATTGGAGCCCAGGCAAAGTCAGAAGGACTTTTGGTTAAAAGGCATTGAAGACTAAGTTTCTGGTATTAGGTATAGGCCTAGACTGAATAACACTAAATAAAACATGAGACCAATATGCTACTTTCTACCTGGAATATGGCTTGAC